ATTATTTTGTGGTGAAAATACTTAAAATCTACTTTGTTGACATTTTTCAAGAATATATCGTTAACTGTAGTCATGTTGTGCAATAGATCTCTTGAACTTATTCCTTTTATTTAGCTAAAATTGTGTATCCTTTTACCAACATCTCTCTGACACCTTTGTTTTGTTTTGATGATTTGTTTAGCGTTGTGCTTTGATTCCTTTCTCTTTTTGTAAAACTTCTATAGGTTTTTTTTGTGATTTTCTTGGGATTTATATATATCTTCTGGTTATGACCACCAATTTTAATCTGATAATCGCACACGAAACCTCTGTACTTTGTTTCCTTTCTCACATTTTGTTATTGTTTTCATACTTCACATATATTCATATTGTGTATCTTTTAATACATTTATATTCTAATACTTTTCTCCTTTAACTTTTATATTACTTTTAAAAGTGATTTATCCACCCCCATTATAGTTATGCAGTAATGTCAGTAATGTATATTTGTCTTCATATTTATCTTTACCAACAAGTTTCTTTCTTTTACAAAATTTTTTGTTTTGTAAATTAAAAAAAATTTTTTTTTAGAGACAGGATCTCACTCTGTCACCCAGGCTGCAGTACAGTGGCATGAGCATAGCTCACTGTAGCCTTGAACTCCCAGGCTCAAGTAATCCTCCTGCCTTAGCCTCGTAAGTAACTAGGAATACAGGTATGTGATACCATGCCTGGCTTTTTTCTTTTTTCTTTTTTTTTAAATAAATTTTTGGTAGAGATGGGGGTCTTGCTATGTTGACCGGGTGATCTCAAATTCCTGGCCTCAAGCAATTCTCACACCTCAGCCTCCCAAAGCACTGGGATCGCAGCCATAAGCCACCACACCCAGTGGACTTTCTTATGCTATGGTGAAGTCGATTGACATTTGGTTCCGACTTGAAGAACTCCCTTCAGTGTTTCTGGTAATGCAGGTGCAGCGGTGATGAAGGTTTTCATTTTTGTTTGTCTGGGAAAGTCTTTATCTCCTCTTCATTTTTGCTAAAAACTCACTGATAGTCTTATGAAACTTCCCTTGTGTATGACAAGTTGCTTTTTTCTTACTGCTTTCAAAATTGCCTCTTTAAATTTTGACAGTTTGATTACATTGTCTCTCAGTGTGGATTTTTAATTTTTGGTGCATCTTCTCTGGTATCCTTTGGCTTCCTGGATGTGAATATCCATTTCCTTCTGCAGATTTGGGAAGTGTTCAGCCATTCTTTCTTTGAATAAGTTTTCTGGTCTTTTCTCCTCTCCTTCAGGGACTCCATAATGCAAATATTTGTCTGCTTGATGGTATCCCATAGAGCTTTCTTCACTCATTTCTATTTTTTTTTCTCCCTTTACTAAATTATTTCCAATGACCTGTCTTTGAATTCACTGACCCTTCAGTTGATCCAGTCTGCTGTTGAACCCTTCTGGCAAATTTTTCCTTTGAAGTATTATGGTTTTCAGCAACATGATTCTTGCTTGGCACTTTAAAAATATTTTTTTTTTTATCTGGCCGGGCGCGGGGGCTCAAGCCTGTAATCCCAGCACTTTGGGAGGCCGAGACGGGCGGATCACGAGGTCAGGAGATCGAGACCATCCTGGCTCACACAGTGAAACCCCGTCTCTACTAAAAATACAAAAAACCAGCCGGGCTTGGTGGCGGGCGCCTGTAGTTGCAGCTACTCGGGAGGCTGAGGCAGGAGAATGGCGTGAACCCGGGAGGTGTAGGCTGCAGTGAGCTGAGATCCGGCCACTGCACTCCAGCCTGGGCAACAGAGCGAGACTCCGTCTCAAAAAAAGAAAATATATATATATAATTTGTTTGTTAAAATTATCACTTTGTTCATGCATTGTTCTCTTCTCCTCAGTGGATATCTTGATGATCGTTATTTTGGTTCTCTATCAGGTAAATCACATTACTCTGTTTCATTACAATTGGTTTCTGGATATTTATCTTACTCCTTTCTTTGGTACTTTTGTTGTTGTTGTTGTTGTTTTTTGAGACGGAGTCTCGCTCTGTCGCCCAGGCTGGAGTGCAGTGGCCGGATCTCAGCTCACGGCAGCCTACACCTCCCGGGTTCACGCCATTCTCCTGCCTCAGCCTCCCGAGTAGCTGGGACCACAGGCGCCCGCCACTACGTCTGGCTAATTTTTTTTGTATTTTTAGTAGATACGGGGATTCACTGTGTTAGCCAGGATGGTCTCGATCTCCTGACCTTGTGATCCTCCCACCTCGGCCTCCCAAAGTGCTGGGATTACAAACATGAGCCACCACGCCCGGCCGCTTTGGTACAATTTAGCCTGGTTCTTCTTTTTTATTTTTTGATTATGTTGATGTCTGTGCATTAGACAAAGCAGGAACCTCTCATAGTCTTCATGGGCTGCTTTTCATCCACTTCGTGTTAAACTGCGGGGTGGGGAATCTATGGCATCCACCAGCCCACACCACCCTCTTTCTTTTTCTGGCGGCTAGATTGTCCCATCAGAGCTCCAAGACAGGTAAGAGAAACACCAGCCCTCTAAAGAGTCTTCCAGACACACTGGGGCACTGGATACACAAGCCAACTTCCTCCCTTTAGTGGCAGAAGCTGGGAGCTACAGGGTCTCTTCCTAATTATATGGCAGTGTGCTTGGTTAGGGAAGTTGTTGGCAGGATGTTCTGAGTCTCTTAAGTGGCCTTTTGGTAAGTCTAGTTTAACATTTGCCTGAGATGTGGGAGCCTTTCAATGAGTTTTGGGATTCCTCACAAGGGAAATTTACCCATGAATTGTTTCTAAATTGATGTATTTGTGGGTGAGGGGAAGGTCTGCAACTTCCTACTCTGCCACCTTGTTCTCAATTTTAGTTTTTCTTAAATTTTTTCTCATAGTACTCTTGTTCACTATTTCCACTACAGACATTTTGTTTTTTCCTTTTAGTCGCTCAACCTCAAAATCTTAAAGACATACCTTTACTTACTGTTATCATAAAAATACTATATCCTATTTTTTTTATTTCCATATTACGACTGTATCTCACCCTTTGTCTATGTCCTCACTGTCTCATCCTAAGATTGTTTTAAGGGCTGCCTAATTTCACTCCTGGTCTAACCACTACCTGCTCCTCCCTTATTGCCCCCTTACTAATCATCGATTCAAGACAGACTCTCATCCTCTCGTTACTGCCTCATGAAGAGTTTTTATTTAATCAGTCTACCTATCTATACACCCGTCTATCATACTATCATGAATACCCAGTGACTCTTCACCCAACCTGAAAATTAAGACTTTAGTAGCCACTGAAATCTAACCATAGGCTGCCCCATTTCCGTCCCCTTAGTCTCTCCCCTTGAATTTTCTCGCATCCTGATCCTCATTTTCGTTTGTTTTTAGTGCACTTTAACGGCATTTAGGTATATTCCAGGAAAGCACATTTTGAGTTGCTTCAGTTGTTCACAACCATATAAAAAGCATTACTAATCTTTTGGGATTTACACTTTTCAAACTTCATACTGTGTTGCTAAGATTTAACCAAATTGTAGCATGGCTCTGTGGGTCATTCAGAAAAAGGGATTTCTCTACTGGCTGGAGTGACTGACCCCAGGTACCAAAGACAATGTGTTTCTGCTACACAGTGAGAGGCAGAAACTCATGATTACAATTGTGTCTGGGGTGCTGCTTAGTCTTTCCATACCCAGTAGCAAAGGTGAATATAAACTGCACCAACCAAAAACATTGGGCCTCAGATCTCCAGAAATGAACATTTGGCTTAGCTGACCAGATGAGGGCCAAGTGCCAGCTTTTTGGCACCTGTGTTCAGAGACCTGGGCATCAAATGTGAGGTCATCCCTCCTTGGAGGGTCTAGGTTTTGGTAACATCACATTTACCCTTTTATTTCCGTAGTTCTGCCTGAGGTGTCGTCTTCACGCAGTTAGTAATCTGTGGGTGGCATCAGCATCTGACTTTTCACCATTTAGTCTCTTTCAGGAGATACCTATATAGCCAATTCTCTGTGTCAAATCTTCTTAGTATAAATATACCAAGTGTGGTTTCTGTTTCCTGCATGGATCTTAACTTACCTTAACAGACATACCAGCTCTATAATACATGAATGAACACTGCGTAGTTTGATTATGTTTATTCATTATCAGATTATATTTCAGAAACTAATATTTTTATACATTTTCCTGCTTTCCACCATTGATTTCCACCAATATTTTATATGACCAAAATACTAAAATAGTAAGTGATATGTTAACACAGCTGCTGCCACCAGAGTACAAGTACAGTAGGGGTGGCTAGGCATATAAAAGTCCAGTAAAGATTGCATTATAGAATAGTAATTTGTAGCCTTCAAAGCATGAGCCATTTTGATATACACACGCTGTGTGAGAGAGTCCGGCAGATATTATTTTTCCTAATGTGTAGACGTGGAAGCTGAGACTCAGACTTTTTCAACTTTACTCTGCTAGTAAATTTCTGCTAGCTGGGACATGAACCTGATATTCCTAGACTGTCACTCTGTCAAAAAAAAAAAAAAAAACAAAACAGGAGTTTGTACAGAGTGATAATTTCAATAAAATCTCACATCTGTTATAAGATTTCTGGTAGAGGAATTTCTGGCTTGAAAGAACAAAAGGAGCTTTCTTGAAGGGCAATGACATTGGAGCTGGATTTTTTTCTTTTTTTTTTTTTTTTGGAGACAGAGTCTGGCTCTGTGGCCCAGGCTGGAGTGCAGTGGCCGGATCTCAGCTCACTGCAAGCTCCGCCTCCCGGGTTTACGCCATTCTCCTGCCTCAGCCTCCCCAGTAGCTGGGACTACAGGCGTCCACCACTACGTCCGGCTAATTTTTTGTATTTTTTTAGTAGAGACGGGGTTTCACCATGTTAGCCAGGATGGTCTCAATCTCCTGACCTTGTGATCCGCCCGTCTCGGCCTCCCAAAGTGCTGGGATTACGGGCTTGAGCCACCGCGCCCGGCCTAGGGCTGGATTTCTAAGTGTTTCCCACTTGGTCATTCCAGTATCCACTGTATAATCTCACAGTGGCTATGAGGAGATTCTCTTGCTGAAGAGTTTCCGCAGGGCCGCCTTCATGTCCCGATTTCTCAGACTATAGATGAACGGATTTAATGCTGGGGTCACTGCCACATACATCACAGTGATCACTGCATCTTTTGGGCTGTAACTGGTCAGAGGGCGCAAATACATGCCCATCGTTGTACCATAATATAAAAAAACAACCGTGAGGTGGGAGCCACAGGTGGAGAAGGCTTTAAATAGACTCTTGGTGGAGGGAACTTGGAAGACTGTGGAAAAGACCTGAACATAGGAGACAATGATGCATAGCAATGGCACAGAGAAAACGCCGACCCCTACGTACATCATCTTCACATTAAAGCCGATGTCAGAACAGGACAACTTCAGCAAAGGCATAACGTCACAGTAGAAGTTGGCCACTTCCTGGTTGCCACAGAAGGACAAACTAGCTGTGAGGAGAGTGTGGGGGAGGGCACTGACGTTTCCAATTGCCCAAGACCCAAAAACTAGCAGGACACAAGACCGTGGACTCGTAATTGTGGTGTAGTGAAGTGGGCGGCTGATGGCCACAGCTCGATCATATGCCATTGCAGCCAAGGTATAGCTGTCTGCATTCGCCAAGGCTATCATGAAATACATCTGCGTCAGGCATCCCCCAAAGGAGATGGATTTGCTGCCCAAGAGATGGTTGACCATATCTTAGGGATGCTTACAGATGAGGAGAATATGTCAACCAAGGAGAGGTTGACGAGGAAAAAATACATGGGGTTGTGAAGGCGAATGTCAGCCTGAATGGCCAAGATGATGAGCAGGTTTCCAGTCAGTGAGATGGGGTAAATGCACAAAAAAATCACAAAGAAGACATTATTCTGTTCATGCTGACCGGTAACTCCCAGGAGAATAAAATCCAGATGAGAGGATTGATTTTCTTTCTTCATGGCTTCTTCAGCATGAAAAGGGAGAGGAGCCCAGAATTATGAGTGCAGTTAGTGTGCGTTATGGTCCTCCTTATCTATCATTTAAAATTTTTAAAATTTTCATTTACAAATTCACCCGCTGTCAAACTTACCTACCACTGTTGATTAGCTATGGCTATACCTGGTTTTTACATTCATAAATAGAGCCAGCACTTTTGGGTAAAATCTCAATGGTCAATGGGACTAATTATCATTCACCTCCTGGACACTGATGTCTAAGAAGTCAGCAATCTGTGACGTAAAGATGGTTATCTTTCCAAATTTAGCACCACGACCTTAATATCTATAATCATATAACAACCTAATTTCATGTTTCATGTCTTAGATTTTTTTTGACTGTGCAGAGAAATAACAAATATGTGAAAATACAGTTATTCATCCACGTATTTAACATATAAGACATAGCATCTGTTCTCAAGGACCTTGTAATTTACTAGGAAAGGCAGACTCACACAATAATTTTATTACGCATGGTAAGGAAAGGATAGCCTCTTGGAGTCTTTGTAAAAAAAAAAAAAAAAAACCTCCAGGGCAAAGGATGTGTCATACAAGGAGTGCAGTGAACGATTTAAAGTTATTCCTCCAACCAGTCTCAGGGTGAGCCCGGAGCCCAGGAAGTAAGAGGTGTCTACACTGCCATCAGATTCTAAAGCAGAAAAACAACTGGCATTAGGTCCTAGAAAAACAAGCTCAGTGAACTTACCCCACAGGTGTTCGACTCTCAAAGCAGATCTTCCCTATCTTTTTGACAGATTTTCTGTCTTTTCAAAACCCTTAACTATACCTGATCACAGTGCTTTTTCCATTGGCCTTTCTCTTGGTTCATTTTGTGTTGCTCTAACAGAGTACTTGAGACTGGGTAATAGATAAGAAAAGAGGTTTAATTATCTCATGGATCTGTAGGCTGGGACGTTCAAAAGCGTGGCCCTGGCTTTTGGCAAGGGCTTTCGTGCTGCATCCATCATAACCTGTGGGAGGTCAAAAGGGAAGTGGATACGGGAAGAGAGAAAACCCGAGAAGGGTTTATCACAACCCACTCTTGCGGGAACATTCCCTTGAAGACTAATCCAGTCTTGAGAGAATGAGAACTCACTTACTACCATGAGAACAGCACCAGACCACTCATGAGGGATCCACCCCCATGACTCAAACACTTACCACTGGGCTCCACCTCCCAACACCTCCCACACTGGGGATCACATTTCAACATGAGTTTTGGTGAGGACAAACTCAGTCCATAGCAGTCTTCTCTTCCTCCTCTTCCTTATCTCTTTTTGTAATAATCCAAGTCCACAGTGGATTCAACTATTCTTTAGTAAACTGTCGTGTCTATATCTGTGGTCTCAATCTCTTTTTCCCCTATTTCCATATTCAGTCATCCTGCTGACATGTCTGACCAAACCCACACTCTGCACTTTCAACCTAAGTAGTTTGCAAGATGTTTTTGAAGAGGAAAATCAGAACTTGTTTATGTTTATGTCTTCCAAATTGATTTTTGTACAATATTTATTTTGTGCACCAATTAATTTGCACCCAATTGTTGAGCTGAACCCAGGTTTATTTCATGGTTCCCCGCATGTGGGATTCTCACAGAAATACTCATCCAGTTTATCTGCTACCTGTACATCTGACCTTATTGAATCTTCACTTGAAAAAATTCTTATATCACTCAACTTTTCTCTTACCCTCACTAGTTTAGCTTAGACCATCATCATTTTCAACTTCAATATTGTAGTAGTCCCTTAACTGCTTCACTACAGTTCCTTCTTCTTTGATCCATCTTGCATTTTGAGATCATACTAATTGTTGCAGAGACTACAAGCTGCTCACCTAAATCTTGTTGCTGTCTTCTTCTTGGACACTCAATTAGACTGCATTTCTCTGCCTCCCTTGCAAGGAGGTGTGGTAAGGTAACTGTGTTCTACTCATTGGTTACAGTTCTCGGCTCCTCTGTACCCTTTCTCTCCTTGTGCCTACTGAATGCAAATGGTGAAGAGGCTGAATGTGATGATGGAGTTGTGTGGTGAAATGAGCCTGTGTCCCCAGTTCTCTCCATCCAGGAGAGCCACTCTCAATCAAGAAGACCCACTATGACTGTTAGACAAAAATACATTCTTATTTGTTTAAACAATTACTCTTATTTGTTTTAAACACTTCCTTCCTTCTTTTCTTTTCTTTTCTTTCTTTTCGTCTCGCTCTGTCACCAGGGTGCACTGGCGTGATCTCAGCTCACGGCAACCTCCACCTCCCGGGTTCAAGCAGTTCTCCTGCCTCAGCCTCCTGAGTAGCTGCAACTACAGGCCCCTGCCACCAAGCCTGGCTAATTGTTGTATTTTTAGTAGAGACAGGGTTTCACCATATTGGCCAGGTTGTTCTCGGACTCCTGTCCTTGTGATCCGCCTGCCTCGGTCTCCCAAAGTTTTGAGATTACAGGCATGGCTGCTGCGCCCTGCCTAAACATTTTCTGATGTATTTGTTACTGTAGTCCAACATATCCTAAGGAACTCAATAATTTTCTTCTTAAAAGACTTATGCTTAGTAGTTAATCTGATCTATAGTTAATTCAATCATCAGTTCCTGGTGTCTCATATAGTATACATGTGAATTACATGCTAAGCCCTGGGCATGCAGGTCTAATTATCTTATCCCCAAACATGATGTACTCTTTCATCTTTGCACCAAAGTCAGTTGGCTTTCTGTCTGGAAGTGCCCTTTCTCGTCGTCACATAGAATCGTAATACCTCAGGTTTCAAAGGACTCAGTAATTTTGGAGGGCTCAGAGACATTAGTTCGTATGATACAGAGGTGTAAGATTTCAGACAGAGGAGAACTCTGAGCAACATGGCATAGCAAACTCATGTTGACAGGTCCTGTTTCTATTAAAACATAAACGTTCTAGATAAATTATAAAAATTTTTTAAAAATGTAGCTAAGCCTAAGAGAAAGCTCAGAGCAGGGGTTTTAGGCTATAACTGATGCTGTAGTGGTCCTTTCGGGTTTTGAACCAGGAATTTGGCTCTCAGGGATGGAATCCGTGCTTTTATTTCCTTTTTGGTACAGGAGATGCCATCACAGGTCTGCAGAAGCAGGAAGCTTAACTTGAGTCTGCTTAAAATACCGTCCTATATTTGAAAGGATCATTGTAAGAAAATTTTGCCCCCATGAGAATTGGAAAGGAAATAGAGAACGTTCACAGAAAATGTGGTTGTCTACAAATAAAATCAAAGAGAATCAATAGATACACTAAGAGATTTCAGAAAGCTTGTTAAATATAAATCATTTAAAATAATCAAGGCTGTTTCTGTATTTGGGTAAAAATAACTTAGAAAATACAATTTGAAAAAAATCCCTATTCAGAAAGCAACAGAAATTTTAGGGAATCTAGAATAATTCTAACAAAAGAAGCCCAAGACTGTTAATCAAATATTATAAACCTATACTTAAGGAGAAAAAAAGAATATCTAAAAACGTAGAGATGAAAGCACTAGTGAGGGAAAAACTCAATGTGGTAAAAATGTCAATTCTTCCCCAGTTAATCTATAAATTTGGTGCAATCTAATCAACATACCACAGGTTTATTTTAAAGATGGAACTTACCAAACTATCCTAAAATTGATGTAAACAAATAAAGAGCCAGGAAGTCTAAGTCCATTTGAGGAAAAGCATGAGGAGAAAAAAATTTACTTTTTCAGGTATTAAAATGAATTACTATGTTCTCGGAAATAAGTTCTAGTATTTGATAGTACAGTAGGGAAATTAAGAGTTAACAATAATGTATTATTTCAAAAGAGCTAGAAGAGAAGAATATGATGTTCCCAACACAAATGCCAAATGTTCTAGACGATGGATATCTCAGTTTCCCCAGTAAGAGCATTACACGTGGTATACAGGTATCAAAATATCACAGGTACCCCCCAAATATGTACGACTATTATATATCAATTAAATGGGAACAAGTTAACAATGGAAAAAAATAAAGTATACATATTCCTTAAAAATGAATTACTGTGGTAGTTCAAGCATTTGAGTAGTTCTGGTGTAGGGACTGAAAATGAAATCTATGTAACAGACTGGAGAGCTCAGAACAGACCATGCATTGCACCAAGCGATTTATTAGACACTGGTGTATGACATGAGTTGGTTTATAATACTGTAGGTAGAGAAAGGATGGACTGGCTTTTTTAGCTAAGAGTGCTGGAACAACGGGATACCCATTTATTTTAAAAATGCAGAAAAATAATTCCCAAGGGATTAATTGTAAGAGCAAAGCTTCCAAATTTTAGAAGAAAAAAGAGAAAATATATTTGTGATAGAATTTATTTCTTAGGCCACATAAAACATGAAAGAGAATATTGTAAAATTTGACTACATTAAAAATGGAAAACATTTGGTAAAAAGCATACCATAAGGAGGGGGGAAGATGAACCATGAACTGAAAGAGGTATTTGCTGAACACATAATGAAAAAGGAATTCATATTCAGAATATGTAAGAGTCCTATACACCAATAAGAATAATTTTTAAAATTGTTGTAGAGACAGGGTCATGCTGTGTTCCCCAAGCTGATCTTGACCTCCTGGCCTCAAGTGACCCTCCCACCCCAGCCTCTCAAAGAGTTAGGACTACAGGTATGAGCCACTACGTCTGACCTCATTTCATAAAAAATAATGTGATTAAGAAAGTAAGTTACTGGAAGATATATACTATATCACATAGTATGTGTACATTTTAATGGTAAAATAATGCATGTGTATGTAGTCAAAGTATAAATCCTGACTGGGAGTGTACTACCAACTCTAGAATTGCAGTTGTGTCTGGAGGTAAATGGGAAAAAATTAGATTTGGGGTGGAAACAAAAGGAATCTCAAAAGTATCTGTAGTATTTATTTATTTAAAACACTTGGAGTAATTAAAACCACATTCTTATATTTGTTAAATCTAGATAATAAATTGTTGTTATATTATTCTCTTTGTTTTTCTGATGTTTTAATCATAGTATTATAATAAATGTAATAATTTAAGGTAAAGATTTCACATATTGGATAATAATTGGATCCATAGTGTGTCCATGGCACTGGGAAAAGGTTGAGAATAAATGGGGAGAAAAAAATGTATTTACATGCTCAGCCAGGCTTATTAGTAGAGATATTTGCTTACTGACCCCAAAATTAAGTTTAGAAAATGCAAGTGATGGTGTCTGTCTCTTTAAAACAATTCTTTGATTCCTCATCACCTAATGGATGAGGTCTCAGTTTCTTATGGTGCCTTACAGTCCTGGAAGAGGGGTCTCGATTCAGACCCCAGACGAGGATTCTTAGATCTCGCACAGGACGGAATTCCAGGTGAATCGGAGAGTGCAGTCAGAAGCGGTAGTCTCTAGAAAGCTACTGTTACAGGGTAGGGCGTCCTCAGAAACTAAGCAGAGGAATGCATAGGCTTTGTGATAAGTCGTTTTTATATAGGGGTCTTGTTTATGTCAAGACTAAACTAAGCTGTAACAATGTGCGGGTTGGCTGATGGTACGACAAAAGTTATTATTTTATTGATTTAAAGAGAACTATCTTTGATATTCTGCTGTGTGAGTACATCAAAGCATAGTTTTTTTTTACCACTCACATTTATTAAAATGAAAACTTCCTCATATATTGAGCAAAAGTGTGGGTGTATTCTCATACATTGTGATGACAGTATAATTAGAGATTTAGAGGACATTCTTTTTGGTATCCATTTTCAAAACTGTACATGTTCTACAACCCAAAAAGTCTTCTTTTATTTATTTATTTATTTATTTATTTGAGACGGAGTCTCGCTCTGTCGCCCAGGCTGGAGTGCAGTGGCCGGATCTCAGCTCACTGCAAGCTCCGCCTCCCGGGTTCACGCCATTCTCCTGCCTCAGCCTCCCAAGTAGCTGGGACTACAGGCGCCGCCACCTCGCCCAGCTAGTTTTTTGTATTTTTTTTAGTAGAGACGGGGTTTCACTGTGTTAGCCAGGATGGTCTCGATCTCCTGACCTCGTGATCCGCCCGTCTCGGCCTCCCAAAGTGCTGGGATTACCGGCTTGAGCCACCGCGCCCGGCCAAAAATGTGTATTGTACAGAACACTAAAAACTGTTCTGAGACATATATAGAGTGATATGGTTTGGCTTACAATTTTCTTGAAAGCATGTCTTGTTATAGGTATTGGGACAGCTGGACTTTTTGCTGTTGTAGGAGTGTGTCCTTGCAGGTATCCTTAGGCTGTTTACTTACCTATAAATGTCTTACGACCATGGGTGGTGACTGGCAAGGAATGTGCCTTGTTAGTTTCAAGATGGAGCTATACTTAAAATGGCGTTACTTTGTGTCTCCCAGGCTCCTGCTTCCCTAGCATTATCATTGAGAAAAACTCAGGGACAAAGTGTTCAGTAATGATGGTAATTTTAGATAGAAATATGTTATTTTTTATATATATATATTCAGTAATGAGGGTAATTTTAGATAGAAATATGTTATATATATTTAAATATATATTTAAATATATATATGCATATCTATTTAAATATATTTAAATTTATATGTATAAATATATATTTTAATATATTTAATAAAACCCCAATAATTAAGAGTATTATAATGAGGTATGAAATATGGATCCATAGAACAGAATAGAAATAGAAAAACATTCAGGATAATAGAAGTTTGAACCATATGATGTTGAACTGCAACTGGAGGTATTGGCTTTAAAATATATATTTTAATATATTTAATAAAACCCCAATAATTAAGAGTATTATAATGAGGTATGAAATATGGATCCATAGAACAGAATAGAAATAGAAAAACATTCAGGATAATAGAAGTTTGAACCATATGATGTTGAACTGCAACTGGAGGTATTGGCTTTAAAATATATATTTTAATATATTTAAATATGTATATATATTTGTTTTGAGACTGAATCTCTGTTGCCCAGGCTGGAGTACAGTGGCATGATCTCAGCTCACTGCAACCTCCCCCTCCCGGGTTCAAGCAATTCTCCTGCCTCAGCCTCTCAAGTAGCTGAGACTACAGGTGCACACCACCACGCCCAGCTAATTTTTTCTATTTTTAGTAGAGACAGGGTTTCACCATGTTGGCCAGGATGGTCTTGATCTCTTGACCTCGTGATCTGCCCACCACAGCCTCCCAAAGTGCTGGGATTACAGGCGCGAGCCACCACACGTGGCCAGAAATGCATTACACATCTTTATCAGGAGCCAAGGATACAGGGAAGGAAGCAGAAAGAATTCAGTCAGGAAAAGAAATTTGGGGTTAAATTATGAAGGGTTTTGACCAACACAAGGAATTTGTACTTTCGTCATTAGGTCCCTTTAGGTTTAATGTAAACATGGGTATTGGGCCCATACATTAGATGCCTGATCAATAGGGCAACATTTTGGAGTGACAGTCTGGGGCAAGGACAACCAGAAGCCAATAAAATAAAAAAATAATTAAAGAATGTAAGAGAAATAGCACCAGAAAAGGAGACGAGGTTGATATAATTAATCACGGTGGGCTCTAAAGCAACCCAGCACCGGAGGAAAGTTTACTGAGCACATGGGCTCGATGACAGACATCTGCAGGGCTGGATGTTAATGACAGAGCAGGAGCATCTCAGACAAACCCCACCACTTTAAGTTTCAGCTCCCTTTCTAGCCTCATGCATTTCAAAGAAATCACTTCTCTTCTAACAACAAGCAGCCAAAAAGAGCAGACACTGAAACACAGATGAGACAGCTTGGGCACAGAGGGAGGTGGGGGGAAAGTCTCTTGGGTAACTGTCAAACTTCACCCTCATACAATGGGCCCCAGTAAAACAGTGGGCCTTAATAAGCACATTCCTTTCCCTTCAGGTGCACTAAAACAGGGAAGCTAAAGCAGACTCGGGGAGGGGGTATGCCTGCAGCTGCAGGAAGATGTATGGGAATAGATACACAGCTCTCACTCCCACATAAGCACAACAAAGAGACATAGAAGCAGTCCAAGCCTCTGATAAACTCTCCTGCCCTGAATCCTTAAAAATTTTTAAAAGCTTGGCCAGAAGCCCCTCTCCGGTTTATTTTCAAAATAAACCTGTCTGACTGTCGAGCCGCTTTTCATGTTTCTTTCCTCTTTCTTTAATTCTTACAGTTAGAATGTCATCATCATAATAGAAAGATGATTTTTTCCTGCAACCCTGGAGAAAGAGGTAAAAGACTCTTAAAGACCTGGGGGAGAAGCCAGGAGGTGCATCAACATGAATGCTATAGCAGAATGAGAGCCTTGAGAGTCCTGGAATGAAATCAGAATCCCAAGCAGTGCTGGGCCACTAAACTCCCCCTTCCTGGAGAGTATTTCTGCTCTGAGATATCCATCACGAGAGTGTGACACTGCTGAGGACAGTTTTGCTTGGACAGAAGAGGCCTAGTGCTTCCCTTTGTCATCAGGTATAGCAGACAAGGCCAAAGAGTTGGCCTGTGAATGCTTTGAGACTCACTCACAGTTCAGCTTATCAGTGGTTTGATAAAAAGGTAATGTAATTTTCTGTAGTTTGCATGCTGCTTTGAAGGTGGGAGTGGAAGGTGTCTTGACAGCTCCTCTCTAGGACATACATGTGCCATTGCATGTGTACACTGACATGCATACATGTCTACGAATATACAATAAAACTTCAGGAGGTGAAGAGAGTTCAGGACAGAGATAACTAAATCAGAAGCACTCCTTCCCTATCCTGTTTTCGTGGACAAGAGCCCAAGGAAAAGCATTATCAAAAGGAAAGGGTCCTCTGGCTTTTCCTGTCCCTCTCTCTCTGCCTTTTTCCCATTTGATCCTGAAAACTTGGGTATTGGCCTTGGGCCAACGTTTGAGTCTTAGTTTTGCCACTACTTCTCTGCATGACTTTTCGATTCATGCAGGCAATTCGATTCACCATTTTTTTAACTGGTAAAATGATGTAATAATTCTACTTACCTAGTGGGGGTTTTGTGAGGGTTGATGGAGATGAAGCATGTGGGATAGTTGTTGATACTTTATCTCTTGATGTTGCTGTCATGAAGACTTTCCAACATCCACAGCCCCTACCTGTTCAAAAGTGTCCTGGGCCTGGCCTTCCTCTTCCACGCATAGGGAGTTTACAGCCAACTGGTCTGGCACTCCTTTTTGGGGGCAGGTATGCTGGAGAGCAGGTGTGTGGTCTTCTGTTGCTGAAGCAGAGGAGACAGGACCGGAATGGTTTAGAAAGAGTAACCCCAAGTTCCCTAATGGTGGAAAAGAAGGAGTAGAAGGTGGCCGTCCTGGAAGGTTGATGATGAGGAATCTAGTTTCCCTCTCAAGGAATCAGGGCAGGTCATAACACAGAGAAAATTGGAAATTATCCACCAGGTTATATAGTCTCCTGAAACATGACTCCCTCGGGTCTTCATTCAGGCCAAAGCCAGAATAATTGTTGAGACTCATTACACACTCCTACAACTTTTCCCTGAGGGACACAGTGGCTGTTAAGAGTGATAGTTCCTAGAGTTCTTTTCCAGAGGAAAGGATGGGCAAGAGGATATCCTGGAGAGTGTGTCTCCAGGGTCCAAATTGTGGGTCAAGCTATTCCATCCTGCTTATTGGAATGCAGACCCCTCTTCTCTGCTGTCCAGCACAAACTTGGAACCATGCCTTGGGAGCTACAAGAAATAGGGTACAATTGAGTGGTTGGTCTTTCTTCTAGCTCATGCTCAATCCTTTCTGGTGTTTAGCATGCAAAGAATAATTTATTTTCTCTTTTCTCTAGGATTTGACTTGAGAAGGGTTAGAGTAGTTATACTTTTAAAATCAAGCATATTAAAGGTAGATTTTAATTTTTTAGAGTTTCAGAGATGAAAAGGGCCTGTATGTCTAGTCTACTTCACGTACCTGTCACTTTTATAATAGCTTTGATCAATGGTCATGATACTATGACTTAACACCTCCACTGGCAGGGAAGTCACTATGTTTTTGTGTAGGGCAATGGTGAACACTCTGAGCCCTGGCTAGTTTTCAATCCTGGCTCTGCACATATCGGCTGAAACTGACCATGGACAGTTATTAACTTATATATTCATCTGTAAAATGAAATAATAATAATGATATCCTCACAAGGTTATTATGAGCACCAAATTAATTAATACCTGAAAAGATTTTAAAGCTGAGCCTGGCCCATAGTTAGCACTTAGTAAACATTGGCTATTATTTACTAACACCTGAACTAGTTACATAATTGTTGGACAACTCTCTAAAATCTTCTAGGAGATTCTGCAAATGCTGGATGTTGAAACACCTTTTGTTGAATTGCGTTTTCCTCTAGATATGTTTCAGGTCACACCATCCCATTTGCTCTATTTTTACTTGCACTGTGTTCCGCTCATGCTCCAGTTTCTAAGACATAGGTTCCCAAAACACAGATATGATGACATCCCACAATAAATGTTTTCTTCCTCATAACATTTCGCTACTGAGGTCCTTCTCAAAATATCTTACTACTTCCAGGTTTTGTTGACTGGGTACTCAATAGGCACAAGGAATTGCACACAGGCATAGAAAAGAGCTATAAAGAAAATAATGCCTTAACTTTCAAACATTTGCACATATTTTCTGTGGGCTGTGATGGCAGATTTCATTAACTTATGAAGGAAATCACTATATTCCACTTATCCCCCAAAGAGAAAAACCTGCAGATAAGAGAGAGAGAGTACATTTGTTTGTTGGCAAATTCCAGGGTTGGTTAAATCCCTTCATTTTTACAGACATTTTGTATAAAGGGAATGATCAATGAAATATATATGCAGAATAAAAAACAGCAATCAACATTTTAGATACTTGGCACAAAGTTTTTTCCTCGAACACAATTTAAGAATGAAATAAGTTTTTTAAAAATTATTTTTCTTGTTCTTAAGACATTAAAACTGAGAGACTGTATTAAAAAAAAAAAAAGAAAAAAACTCAATGAAAATAAAGTTGACCAGAGAACAGCAAACAGAAACAAATAAGGGACAGGAAAAGATTTTAATTGGCATTTTAGCCAAATTGTTATTTCAGAAAATAAATTAATAACATGTAGAACTGACTTCAGAAGTCTTTCCTTAAAGAAGAGTACAAAGATAAAGAGTTTAAAACAATAAGGAAAGAAAATGTGGATCTCTCACTTAGGAGTAATAGTTTCACAGAAAGAAAGCAGAACAAATAGAACAAAAGCAACAATTAAAGTTACAGGCCGGGCACGGTGGCTCACACCTGTAATCCTGGCACTTTGGGAGGCCAAGGCTGGCAGATCACCTGAGGTCAGGAGTTCGAGACCAGCCTCGCCAACATGGTGAAACCCTGTCTCTACTAAAAATACGAAAATTAGCCAGGTGTGGTGGCACACGCCTGTAATCCCAGCTACTCGGGAAGCTGAGGCAGGAGAATCGCCTGAACCTGGGAGGCAGAGGTTTCAGTAAGCCAAGATCACACCACTGCACTCCAGCCTGGGCAACAAGAATAAAACTCTTTCTCAAAAAAAAAAAATAAAAATTTTTTCACTTTCTTAAGATGTTAAAACTGAGAGACAGTATAAAAAAGAAACAAACTTTAATGAAAATAAAGTCATTGAAAATATGATGTCATAGAGTGAGCAGTAAACTCATATTTTAGTTTAAAGAAGTTCATCGGAGTCAGACATTGCTTTTATCTTTAAGCAGAAACAGAAAATGGGTGAAATTCCAAGGCTCTAGCAACTAAAAAATCAAAAAGCAGGTACTACAAATATAGTTCCAGAAATCAGAGGTGCAAACTTGAAATCATTTAGTCAATTAGCTAATTAATTGAGGCCATCAGGTTAACATGTGTGAAAGACACATGAGATTAAAATCATATTCCATAAGATATAATCTTTGAAAATTCAAGTGTCTTGAAAAAAACTTCTATTCAAGGATATATTTATTTTGAACTAAAAACTGAATAGGATGCTTACAGTTGAAAAATTTTATATGAGCCTTTATACTAGAAAAAGAGAGTGAGATAATTTTGTGCTTTTTTTCAGTTTAAGGTCTTGTCAGAGTAGTATCTCTGAACCAGATTTTCAGTTCAGGTTGCTGTCAACCCTCTGCAGCTACAAAGAATTGGCTATCCTTATTTTTATTTTCCATTGTCATTTTTGTTCACAGGGAAAGCATACTGGCCCTCCAGAGAAATGGTAATATATACCCACACACATACATCTCTGAAATAGAACCAATTTTATTTACATAATATATAAAATTATATATACTTATATAAAATACATAGTATAATATATAGAGAAAAGGAACCAATTATACATCTGTTTATTCATTTATTGTAAGGAATTAGCATGCTGTTCATCGCTGAAGAGTCTGTCTGAGTCAGGTAAGAAAGTAAAGACCTAAGCTTCTGGTAAGGGAATATGATGAAATCTTGATCCTTCTACTGTTTGGAAAGAAAGATGACGTAAGTGTAAACGTCTCTCCAAGCTGAAGTCAGGATATTCCAAAGATAGTCCGCGGCGTATCACCAGACGAAGGGTACAGAAAATAGGTGATATGGGAGTGATGCCACAGAAGGATCCCTGCAGGCTGGTGTGGCCAGGGCCGGCTTCACAAACAAGGGGTCCCGGAGTGATTCAGAGCCAGCCCCAGAGGACCACCTGGTGAAAGAAGAGTTTCCCTTCACACAGAGACAATCTCAGGATGAGTCCTTTAGGATGGCTGTGTATTTCACACTGTCATCCCAGCTGGGAGTCTCAGAAAGTTGGGCACTCTAAAAAAAAAAAAAAAAAAAGGCAGTGGGGGGCAGGGAGGGGTTGTCCTTTGACTGAGAAATACGTTTCTAGGAGACTAGTCCTTGACAGTAAAGGGTTACAGGTTTGGTGGGAATGATCTCTTGCTTGGCATCAAGGCAAGCCTACCGTTGACCCATTCCTCTATGTTGCAGAGAGTACACGGTCCTAGACTTCTTGGAATATAGGGTCAGTGGCTAGCACTCACCCAGCCACACACTCACGAATCCAGGGAAACTAGCTTTTTGTTTCTTTACTTCCCTGTGCCCCGGTTTTCTAGTTGTAGAATGAAAAGGTTGAATTACACATCTTCCAGTGTTCATGTCTTCATTGACTTGAGCATCCAATATTTCTTGAATATCTCTTTTGTGCCATGAGTTATTGTAGGTACTGAGGAAATCACACACAGAACAAAACATACAGGGATCCAGACTTATTGAAGCTTTCATCTGGTGATAGACGTAATCAAATAAATATCGGAAATTCTAGTGGTGTTAAAATACAGGGATATTAGAAATATCAGAATACCCAGGAAGGTGCAGAAAGCCCTCTTTGGGGTGTTCATGTTGTGACCTAAGGGATGAATATAAGTTAAAGGAAGAGATAGCGGGTGGATGGTGGTAGAGGAGAGAATATTTCAGGCAGAAGAAAGAGTATGCGAGAACCTCCAGACATGAAGTCTAGGGGTTGGGTTGAGGGGAGCCTGTGTTTTCAAGGCACTGATGGAAGGAAGTCAGGAGACACACGAGAAGATCTCTGGGACCATCAGTGGGAGAGACCCCAGTCAGAATGAACAATAGCTGGCTAGGAGGAAGCTATTGGGGTGCAAATGTAAGCTCTTGATTGCCATTCTTCTTTCCTAAGCGCACCATACTGAAGCATAGCATTTGGAGTCAAAAGAATCACGATCAGATCCACATTCTGCTACTTATCAGGGTGTGACTTCGGGGCAACTCACTCAGTCTCATTTATTTATTTTTGATACATTATAATTGCATACATTTATGGGAAGCATGTGATATTTTGATACATGCATACTATCTATAATGATCAAATCAGGGTATTTGGGATATCCATCATCTCAAACATTTATCATATTTTTATGTTGAGAGCATTCCAGATGTTCTCTTCTACATATTTTGAAATATAGAAAAAGTTATTGTTAACTATAGCCACCCTGGTAAGCTATCAAACACCACAATTTATTCTTTCTAACTGTATTTTTGTACCCATTACCAAACTCTCTTCATTCGCTCCTTGTATCTATCTTTTCTAGCCTCTGTTAATCATCATTCTACTCTTTACCTTCCTGAGATCAATTTTTTTAGCTCCCACGCACAA